ATGATATGTCTGACAAAGCAGAAAAGCAACTTACAAAGAACATTAAAAAACTGTATAGTAGAACACAAAGATCTTGGCAGTTGTAAAACACTATGACAAGAATTAGTAATGAAGCAAGTAGGTGGCCTATTAATGAGATTGAACAGACAAGACAACCTCAGACTGTTAATGAAATTAAGAATAATACAGGGCTGTCAAAGAGCAAGTTTAACAGAAAACATATGAAGATTAAAAAAAATGCCAGAAAATAAAGCATGCTAAAGAGATAACCTAGCTTGTTTGATAATATCAAAGGCAAGAGAATTAAGAATAAATATAAGAACAGAAAGTGATTTATAGATAATATTTGGGTATGGTACCAGAATACAAGAGCTCTTGGATGCATATTTGTAAAAAAGAAGTAAAACCAAAATAAGTGAAATAGGTCTAATATACTTAAACCAGCTGCTTGACACAAAAGGTAAAAGGCTAATTATATGGCAGCAGTTTAAAAATTACCAAGATCTATCAAGCAAAGATAAAAAAACAGAATAGTTTAAGGCAATAAAATCAAAAGTACTCATAAAGCCAGAGAATAAAGAAGTTAAAAGATACTTCAAAACAAATAGGCATAATATCCAAGCAATAAGACTAAAGTAAAGCATATGTCAGAAGATAGAAGAAGAAAAAAAGTGTAATTTATGATATGCAAAACAGTAGACAGTTAGGAAAGGTAGTAAAGAAGAAAAAGAAAAAGATACTAGTAGAACACTGGCAAATGCAAAGCAGAAAATATAAACTAGCAACAAAAATTAATAGATGTGATAGATGCACAAAGAAAAAAGAACAGACAAAAGATAGCTGCCAACAATGAATAAGAGTGAACAGCAAAATCAATATAATCCTTGATATGTTAATAGAAAAAAGCAGTAACAAGATTAAGTTGGCAACAGACCAAATAACACAAAAGGTAGAAACAAATAAGTAGGAAAGGAATGAGTAAAAGCTTGAAGGACTTGTAACTATAAAAGAGTTGGAAGTAGAAATAGTTAAGTGACAGAAATTGAAGAAGAATGTTAATTAAGAAATAATTGAAGTCTTAAGAAAAAACACAACAAAAAGCAAGAACAAATATATTATATACACAGATAGGACAGTAAATATAAGAATCAAAGACAAGAAATCAATTAAAGATATGGGTATAGGATGGGTTCAAACAAATAAAACACAAGAGTAGCTAGAAGAAGAGATAGCACTAGGTCTAGAAAAATGGCCAACATTGATAATAGCAGAGTTAGTAGCAATATGGGCAGTAATTTTAACAATACCAAAAAAGAAGCAAGTAGAAATATATACAGATAGTAATGCTGCAATAAGAAATATCAGTAGAGGTCTAAAGCAAGTAGACAGAATGAAGACTTTCAAGAAGAAGAATATGATAGATAACTTCATTAAAACAAAGAATTTACAAATAGAGTTAGTTAAAGTGAAAAGTTAAAGTAGAAATAAGTAGAATGACAAAGCTGATAGCCTTGCAAAAAAAGAAGCAGCACGCAGAAAGATAATAAAAGCTGAAAAAGTCAGTTGTAAAGAAATAAAGTACTGCTTAAAGTAAAAAAACAAGCAAACTAATATACTAGCAAGACTGTTATACAAACTGGTAACAAATGCAAGATTGGAAGCAGAATAGAAAGAAACAAAGCAATTAGAAATTTAGAACCAGAAATAGAAGTTATGATTTATGACTAAGCACAATTTTGAAAAAAACTGAAAACAACCAAAGAAGTACATTGCATAACAAGAAGAAGTAATACAAAAAAAAGTGCATTTATAAAATATACAATAGATAAACTCCTGACCTTGGAGGAACTTAACAAAAAAAGGTCAGATATATATACAATAACAGTGTCAAGTATGTCCAAATAAAGTAAAAAAAATGCAAGCACATCTGGCATTATGCAAGGAACAAACAAGTCTTTGAAAAAGAATTCAAAAGGTGACTATTACAACAGCATAGAAAGAACTAAAAGAAGAAGAAAAAACCTATGTTCTCCATATATGCTATATACAGCACTTTTTAAAAATATAGAAACAGAAGAGATAAAAATAAGAAAAGCATTAATTAAAAGCCTAATTCCAAAAAAAATACAAGACAGATTAGCATAGCTTCTAAGCACAAAGGCAAAACAGCAGTTTGCAAGTACAGTAGTAAAAACAGCTTAGAACACTTTCTATGTGCAGGTTTGAAGAATCTGATGTGAAAAGATTAATAAATGAAAGAAAAAATAGGAATAACAGGTAAAATAAAAAGAAGAACTTATGAAAAGAAGAAGAATCCAAATAAGAAAAAAAGGGTAAATCAACAAGAGATAGAAGAAAGAAAAAAGAAGCTAAAAGAAAAAGAAAATCAAATTAAAAAAGAAGATAAGAAGACAATGTTAGGGCTTGTTGTGGAAGAGAGAAAACCTTTTCATTATGGATTTTAAGTAGTTAGACAAGCAGCCTACTTCTGCTAGAAATAGTATAGCAGGTTGCATTTAGGTGCCATTAGGGTGGCAGAGTAATGCTGAACTTAGATGTTAGGTATATCTATATAATTGCAAAAGTAGTTCCAAGAATTCTAATAAAGTATCAGCATGACTGCTTAAAGGAAAAAAAAAAGATCAATAACAGAAAAAAAAGAAAAACAAAAGAAAAAGAAACAAGAAATTAAAAAAAAATTTAATATAATAGAAATATTATTAGAGAAAAGCATATAGGCACTAAGTAAAAAAAACTGTAATCAAAATAGCAGCTTACTAACTAATATACATGCATACAATATGCTAGAGAAAACAGAAAAGAAATATTTAAAATTTATCAAATAATTACTAAAAAATAATGAACATGTCAGGAGGTTTTCAAAAAAGAGAACTTATAAATCAAACTAAGCTTTAATTGTAAACATGACAAAAATAAAACAATACAAAGAATTAGTAAAAAAAAAGCAATTAATACAAATAATACCAAAAAATGAAAAAGAAGACAAAAGAAGAAAGCAAAAAAACTATAATAAAAGCTACTAAAATAAATAAAACTTTATGCAAAACTCTAAAAAAAAGAAACCTAAGTAAAAAAAATAAAGAAAAAGTAAATAAAGATATGTATAATACAGATAAAGAAGCAAACAATCTAAACTATTTAATAATTTGGAACCTGTTAGTAAATATAAACAGAAAAAAATTAGAGTACATTTGTAAAAGAATCAAAACAGCCCATATAGTAAAAATAAAAAGATTCAAGTACAAAGTCTTAGCAATAGTTTAGACAAAAGAATGCAAAGAGGAGAACATTCTATAGTCTATACTAGTTGATAATAACAAGCTAGTAAAAATAACAAAAAAAGAAAAGGACTATAAAGCAAAGAATAGACAGGAATAGTATACAGTAAAATTAACTGAATTATCTAAAAACACATTAAAAATCTTACTACTATGATGCCTAAAAGGCAAGAGACAATGTCTGTTTATATTCTACCAAATAAAAATAGTAATCAAAAAAGAACTGCAATAATTACATTTGCAATAGAAAGAAAAATAAAAGCAGTCTAGACTAAACTAATTATGTACAACAACTTTCAAGTATACTAAGTAATAGAAAAAAAAGAAAACTAAGAAAAAAGAGTTTTAAGAAAGAAAAAAAGAAAATACAAACAGATTTAGTCAAGATTCAAATAAAATACTATGATAGCAAAAGAAAACAACAAAATATGATAAACAAAAACAAAAAAGAAGAGAAAAAAAATCTAATCAGAAAAGTTCAAATACAAAAAAACATCAAAAAAAGAAATAATACTTAAGATCAAGGTACAAAAAGTTGGGCAAAGTATATAGATATTACTGATAGAAGAGAAGAAAGTTCTAAAATAAAGAAAGTTAAAACCAAAATTCAGTTACAAAAGAAAGATTTATATATAGAAGATATCTTAATTTAAATATTAGACAAACTAGAAAGACTAAAAAAGGCAGGAAAGATAGCATAAAGTAAAACTGCTTCTAAAGATATCTTAGTTAAATTTATAAATATAGACAAAAGATTAGAGAATTTTTGCAAAATAAAAAAAAGTTTTTAAAAAAAGAAGAAAAATACATTTTCTTGTTCAAAAAAAGAAAAGCAAAAAAGAAAAGAAAAAATAAAAAACATAAAGGCAAAACAAAAAATTCTTAAAGAGGAATAAAAAAAAAGACAGATAAAAAATCAAACTAGCATGCCACAATATTAATAGACTTAAAACTAAAAATTAAAATTTAAAAACCTGCTTAACTAGGCAGAAAAAGAAGAATTGCAATTTTGAAAACCACAAAAACAAATTTTACAGAAAGAAAAGAGAAGTTTTTAATACATAATGCAAACAGAAAATATATAGAGTATTGGACAAATATAGCAAAAAATAAGAAAAAAAGATTAGATATAGAGATTTTGATTAAAAAACAGTAAAAAAGCATGTAAGTGCAATTAAAAAAATAAATAAGTGTATGATAGAGGTCATACTATACTTTAAATAATTGAAGTTAGCAGTAATAAAAGTCTATATATTATTAAATAATAATGCTATAAAAAGAAGTATTTAGAAAAAAATAGTAAAAATAAGTTTAAAAAGAAAAAGACAAACACAAATAGTTATTATAAAAGACTTCAATTATATGGCAGACAATATACTAAACAGGCAACATCTTAAACAGAAAACTATAAAAAATTATAAGTCTTTAATTAGATAAAAAAGCAAGACTTTAAAGATATATATAGAGATCTATATCTAACAAGTTAGAAATACATATAGACAAATAAAAAACAGCAATTAGAATTAATTATATATAAGATAGATATGCTTAATTCAGCACAGGTAAGTATTATAATTTATATTATGATAGATTAATTAGTATTAGACAAATTTGGTACTATTTAATTCTGATCACTAGATCACAAAATATTGTTTATTAAAAATTTGAATTAAAAATATATTATTAATTTGGTGCAGTGCCTAATTTAGTGTACCAACACTACACTAACAATATTTTATGAACTATTAATCAGAATTACAAGATTTTAATATTATTTGATTCATCTCAATAAGACAAACCAAATCATGTGATTCTGATTAATAGCTATGCACAGGTTTTCACTGTGTATCACTCATATGTCATTATATCGTAATAATAATCAAATAGAATATTCTCAAGTTAGTCATATTAAAAATTAGTTAAAATTATGATCACATCATTTAAGAAAACATTTATAAATATTACGGTTCAAGTAAATTCATATCTCCTTTTTAAAAAAAAATTAAAAAATGATTAAAATGGTGGATAATAGAGATGAACTTATAAAATATTGCTTCGATATTTTGTGGAAAGCAACTGAAGGAAAAATAAATTCAGTTACTTTTAATGAAAATCCATTATTCACAGTTACCTTTAACTTGGTCGATAGGACTTTCAAAACATTAAATTTAGATACACTAAAGGTAGTCCTCATTATCAGAAAAAACTTCATAAAAATTTTAAGAGTTATCGAACAGAATAAAAAGAAAGTTGCAATTGATGATGATGAGGTAATTACATTATCTTTTAAGTTTGTTATATATAGAAACTAACAAGGCAAAAAACTTATAAAGAAACCTAGTAATTCATTAACAGAAATAGCTATTCAAGAAAGTGCACAAAATTTTAGCTTCGATATTGAGGCAGATAGTACTTTTTTATCAATAAATAATCAAAACTCTAATGATTCTGGTGATCCTATATCCATACCTTCAAGCCCCAAAGAAAAAAAAGTATGTATTAAAACTTCGAAATTCATTTAATATCACTAATGCTTAAAATTCTTAGAACAGTCTTCTATTATATTTGAGATCACTAGATTTCATTTTTTCTAATATAATTGAAAATATTCTTAATAATTAAAATTCAAAAGGAATCGATACAATATGCTGACTCTCTTTCAGATAAATATTCTAACTCTGATGAAGAAAATGATGAGCGGAAGTTTGATGCAGCTTTAACTTTATTGCATGAGGCCAGGCATAGTTCTCTGCAAAGTATTAAGAAGTATTGGTAACTATAAAATTTAAGTGTTCTGGTTTATTAAAGTACATATCATGAATATTTAAAGCTTAAAAATTTTAGAACCAATCGTTAGTCACCAATAATGTTCAAGAAAATACTAGTAATATAGTAAATGAATTAACAGTGGAAGATAAATGTGATGAAATGGTGGATATTCAAATGAGTCAGCAATACAATATTGTTAGTAATCAATTTACTTTTTTTGATTTTTATTTTATATAATTTAAAATGTACATTTATTCTCTTATCTCTGCAAAAATATTGTTTATTGACAATGTTAAATATCATACAAGAACGAAAAAAAACGAATGGAATATTCTCTGTCTGAATCGTCTGATGCTGATCTTGATGGTATATAATTAGATATTTTTTCTAAAACAAAATATTTCAAACAGTAAATTAATATATCTTCCAATAAATCGCAAGCAAGTGGTGGGCTTCAAAGTTCTAATAAGATGGTGAACCTTTCACAAACATCAAATGATCCAGAGTTTGGTAAAGAAATAGAATACAAGCATGCTAATACAAATCAAGTAAAAATTAATTTCTATCATCATAATTAGAAACTATCAATTAATTTGCTTATTATCTTGTGCCAAAAGAAAACTAATAAATTTTAACAATTATTGTATTATTTGAATTATATAATTAAAAAGGATCCTGATGTTGGAGAAGTGAACATGTCTGAAATTGCAGAAAGAAATAAAAATGTTTGTAGCATTATTATCAGCTTATCTTTTTTTTCTTCTTTTTACATATATACTTATTTCTTTCACTGTTTTAATTAAAGAAATGCTTGCAATTTCATCAATTATTAACAATCAACAAAAGCTATCTACTTCATTGTCAAATATTAATGAACAAAATCAATCTGATAAATTAATAGATTTTCAGGTAAAGAATCTACATTATCAATGGTTAGTAAATCTGGTGAGTATGATGTTTAACTATTTTTATTATTTTAAGCATCAACCTTTTGTTTTTGTTAATGACCCTATTCTGGTAAGAATTTTAATTCATATATAATAATAATAATAATAATATATTATTATTTCTTATTACATATTATTTTTATTATTTCTTAATTGCATTGGTTTTCATAATGAGATTTTTAAATAGCTTGGCTTCTGGCTTTTTTTAAATTTTTATATGTAAATTTTACAAAAAAATTTCTAAACCCACCTAGATATTATAAATTTGAACCGGGTTATGAAACCAACCAATTAATTACAATTAATTAATTTTGAATAGCTTTAATTATATTTTTTTTAAACAGGAATTTTTTGTTGATAAAAGCAAAGAATCAAGAAGTAAGAATTAAAATAAAATTTTTAGTATAATTATCATTAATTATTTCTAATAGCTTGAAACTATCCAGCTTCAAATAATTCCATTAATATTTTGGTATGTAGTATTATCTGAAATTTTGATTTTAAAATCTTCAACACTAATATAATGAAATCTATAGGCTGAAGATAATGATACGCAACCTGACTCAGATTTAGATGATGAAATCGATGAACAAAGAAGTTTATTCTGAAAGTGCAAATCCAAAATCACCCAAAATTTTGAAGTTTCAAAGAAATCAAAAAAAAATAATTCCAAGAATAAACAAGTAAATAAGGTAAATAAATCTTATTACAAAGATAATTTGTAATATTCTAATATTTTTTTTATGGAATGATTTAATTAAATTATATTTTTTATAATATTTTCTAGAGCTCATTAGAAACTCAGGTAAAAAGTCTTGAGTTCTATGATATTTTGTTTTTTTAACAGTGTTTTCTTATTTATTTATCAATAAAAAGGAGATATCAATACTATAACGAACAAGCCAACAATAAAAGTTCAGTAAGTATATTTAGCTTAAGATTATCTTGTTTTTACATATATTAAAATTTATTTTAATTTAATATAAATCTTATTCATATATACTAAATTTTTAGGACCTAGAAAGCACTTCTTTAAATTCCACAAATTCAAAATTTAGTGGTATGTTTTAAAATTTAAAATTTATTTTAAATTTAAATAATTCCAAATTTGTTTTTAAGAACTACAAATTTAAGTTTATTATTTTTTTAGAACTACAAATAGGATCAACTGCCTATAGCAAATGTCTTAAATCGCCATCAGATTATGTAAAGAGATTGAATAAACTAAGAAAAATAAAAGGAACGTCTGACTTTGCATCAAATACAAATGATCTAGTGGGAATGTATTCACAACCAATCAAAAAATATTTTAATGAGGATTCAACACAAGTACTGTTGGAGCTATTATCAAAACAGATGAAGGATGTTGGCAGTTGTTTAAAGTATTTTTAATTGTGGGATCAACACTTTGAAAATTGTCAAAAAGAGATCACCAATCAACAATATAAAATGCTAAAACTAATATATTCTTTGTCTAATTTCTTTTTTATATTGCTGATACTTTGCCAACAAGAACAACAAGAAGAAATGAGCCCAATTGCATTGGAGAAAACTACAGATAATTGGAAGGGTAATGATTTAAAGGCTCAGATTAATAAAAAATTTGGCAATATTAATTCATGCTCTATTTTAAGAAAGTGAACTGCATGTTGGAAACTGCACTATTTTCTATGAGTAACAAATATTACGCCAAATGAGATGATCGAAGTCAAGCTTAATGCAAAATATTTTCTCAGTGCAAGTGAATGTGAATATAATTGCCTGATTAAAGAACTATTGAGAAATCCTGAATTTCCTGAATTCCATAACATTAAAGGGAAAAAATATTAGAATTAGTAAATATTGCAAAGAATGCTTACACAATTTAATGATAAATGTTTGTAACAATTGCTTAATTTTTGTTTTTATTTTTTGCTCTATTCCTTTTTTGAAAGTGAAACAGACCAATAATAAATGAATTATTATTAGAAACATGTGATAATCACCAATTAGCAAATTTTAACATAAAAAATAATATAATATTATGTGTTTAATCTTACAAAAATTTAATTGTATATTATTAAATATGCTAACCCTTGACTTATAAATGAAAAATCAAATAACTTAATAAAATTTGTATTATTTATATTTAATCTTATTTTTTTCACATAATCCAATTCACCCTTTTTATCTATTAACTTAAATGCCACTCACACATAAATAAACACCTTGAAGAGAGATCACACATTGAAAAAATTCTTGAAACAAATAATAACTATCCTGTTAATGATAAACTTTAGCACATATTTTAATTTTGTCAATTCAACTCAGTTTATTCTCTTACAGCATCAAGGTGCCATCGGAGAATGAACTGAGTTTCAATGGATCATGATAAAATTAAATTCTTACCCTTGTAATCATGTGACATTATTTGGCATAGACTTATATGTAGACCATAGTTAAACAATTAGGAGACAATTAAATAATCATATTTTTCTATTTGTCTTTACCATGGCACAAACCCTTATAGTCTGTATGCTCTTATTCAATGATTTACAATCGTAAAAATACCATAAAATAATTGATTTATTTTATAGATTGACCATAATAAAGCATTGAATAAAGTGTATTATTCCACAGGTCTTATGTAACAACCTGTGCTTTTTTTACTTGGTTATTGCACAGGATTATACGTCAGACACCGTGAAATAATATAGTTATTGTATGGATATATGAATAATCTGTGGCCTTCAGCCACAATTATTCACTACATATCTATGCAATAACAAGTATTTATTCATAGAAGGTATATTATACCAACAAATTTTTACTATTACAATTATATCTAATGTAATCACAATTGATACATGACCTTTTTATTACAAAATTAATATTATTATAAAAATAAACCAAATGTTAAAATGTATTATCATTACAACAATATTAATAAAGTATGATAAAGTTATCTAATTAATACAAAAATATAAAGTGATAACAATATAGATAAATAAACTCAAAACACGACTGATTAAGGTAAAATATAATGCTATAATGAATAAGTGATGGTAAATAACTTGAAATAATCCAATAAGGTCATTTAACTTCTGTTAATTGATAATCTAATGCCATTTAGTTGATTATTAGACAAAATTTTAAATGTTCAATACTCAAGTCATACAATTTAGCTCCAACTCAAGAACACCTAATACAAAAATGCTCAACTCAAGAATATCTAAGAACACTTAACTCATACATTTCTGAAGTAAGTGAATAATAAAAATTTTTGAATTTCAATTAAAATTTTACTGATATAATTTGAATTGAAGTAACAGTGCAAATAATAATGGTTTAAGTCAAAAAAAACTCACCCAAATTCATGTAGTTGCGAAAAATGAATTGCAGTACTAAATCTTGCTTTTGTAGAAATAAAAATTCGTTATATTCAAGGCACTGTGGATGCGTTTTACATAAACAATGCAAATATTTTTAGTTACATTAATAAATTTTAATATATCTTGCATAAATTTGAATATTCTTGGTTAAATATAATACGTATAATAAATCTTTCTGCCAGTTCTTTTTTTTTAATTTGCAAATTTTATACCTATTGAAAAATGACGTATGTCAGTTTTCAATTGAAAAATAACATATGTCAATTAATATATGTGCTTTTTTAAATTTAAATTTTAATTTATTAAATATAAGCAAAAAAAGCTAAACAGAGTAACCAGAAATTTGTGTAATGAATAAAGTTAGCAAGGGATATATAATAAGCATACAGTATTAACTAAAATAATACTAATATATAGCTTTTATAATGAATAACTTTTGATTCACTGTACCAAAATGATCATTTTGATTTAGAATTCAATTTTAGAATTTCAAGATCAATAAGATATTATTTAACTCCAGGTATCCTACTCAATATTTCAACAAAATGATGTTAGAAAGTTCTAGTAAATACTTTAACAAAATTGTAAACCTAAATGTCTAAACTACCTTAACTTTGTCAAAGTAATTAAGTAAATCACCGTCTTCAAACATTTGATCCCGAGTTCTATTTTGTTTTTGTAATATTCTATTTTGTAAAGTAATTGCATTCTTACTGTTGTCTTCATCAATAAGCTTGAGAACGAGTTCATAGTTATGTGTTAAACCAAATATTTCCTATCGTTTATTATTAATATTGGATTCACTAATTTGTTGATTGGTAATATATCAACCTTGATTTTATCGTATAACTTAGACATGGTGATTTTACTTTAAAAAAAATTCTACAACCCACATTTATATAGAACAAAATACTAGAAACGAAAATAACGTTATTATTCACAAAATAATACTTAGCAAAAGAAAAACATATTAATGTTAAGAATTATTATTATCTTGACGTGGGATATAATTGAAAAAATATCTACATATTATCAATTCCTATTGTTTAATGTAGCTTTTTGTTCTTACAGTAATCCGCGCATGATCAAGCAAAATATGTAAATAACTGATAATAGTAATAAATTGCTGGACACTGAAAGAATAACCACAAAAGTATTAATTCCCTAATAAAAATCTACTATTAGGTTGCCAATTTCGTATAAATCATACTTTTTTATATTGAAAATACTCTAAATTATTGATATAATTTGGCGTATAATATATGTTTAAATATAAAATTTCTTACAATAATAGTTAAATACCAATGGATGATATAAATGTCTCAAAAGTTTTAATTATTTATTATATCATATTCACCAACAATTTGAAACCGTAAAAACAAAATCCTTCAATATTTTCAGGCATTTATATATGGTTTATATGTATGAATAATTTTCATCATAAAAATTTTAAATTACATAATCTTTAAAACTTTCATCAGATAACTTATAAAAATCAATGGAATCTATTAGTTCTTTTTCTTCAATTTTTTTGATAAGATCAACCCATTCTTTATTTGACATGTGTTTTAGTCTAGGGGTTAATAGACTTACTATCATAAATTACTTGCCAACCCAATCGTTGAACAAGTATCACTAAATATCTGGCAGCAACCATTTCATTTTTGATTATTGCTGGCTTATCTTTATGGTAAATAGCAGATGATTCTTCTAATATTTTATGTACTCGGCTTGCAACCCTTTCACCCTTGGCAAATTCATGATTCCAGTTATTTGCTTCTGGGTTTACTTCTTGTCTCTTCTCCAGTATCTTGATCGATCACAGTAAAATGGCTGGGAACTAAGAATCAATTAGATTTCTTCAGTTCCTTTATAATTTTTGTTATCTTAAATGATATAAGTGCCAATGCGCAAAGGGTATGGATGTATAACACCCTTGAATAATTATAACTTTCTTCATTGTTAGAAATTTTTTCCCAAATAATTTTAATTTGATTTTTGATATTTTCTTCCTCTTTAATTTTAATAACTTCTGGTAACGAACTTGGCACTAGTAAAGAATTCAAAAAGTCAATCCATATTTCAAATATTTTTTTAAAAATTTCTTTAAGAATGTTAGGAGTATCACTATAAATCATTATTGGTATTGGATCTCTGTTAATTTGGATATCAGTATATTTTTTCATCTCGTTCTGTTAGATTTTAAGTCTATTTATATTAGATATAGATCAAGTTAATTTATGTATCAGGTATTATAGATTCTTACCTGAACAGGCTTTAGTAAATAAAAAATATATATATTTTAGATGCCAATTATAAAATAAAGATTTATCATGTTTAAGACTTTTTATACTTGTAAAAACTGATTGTCTTCAAATGGCATATCATCTTTGTTTGACATATTCATATCATCTTCCTTTGACATATTATCTTCATGGTTAATCTGATTCTCTGAGTGCAGGGAAAGTGACCTTCAAGAATTTTCTTGTTGTATGATTGATTCCTTTGATTTAGAAATCCCATATTAATTTTTTTCTTAAATTTATCGAAATTTAATTATAAATTCTTACCTGAGTGTTAATATCAGATTGCATTACTGAGCATTCTCTATTTCATCTGTTCGCTTTTAGGAAATAACTATATTAATTTTTCTTAACAAAATTTAATTATAGATTCTTATCTGTGAAACATTCATTAATTCATCTGTTCGCTTTAAGATAATAAAATAAATAATATAAGCTATTAAATTAAAATTTCTCACTAGGATTTTACTTGTCTAATACTAATGCGTTGATTATCTATAAAAACCGTCAGAAACTTAATGCTCTTCACAATATCAATTAAGTTATTTGGAAGTTTGTTTGTTTCATTTTCTAATTTTTTTTTTTTTAGAAATAAATTTTATATATAATATATTGATAAAGACACAATTAAAACTTGAAGTGATACTAGTATTTAATGAAATCTTGCATCTTTTTTCACAGGTTAAATTCAAAGTATCCCATTTATTACTTTTTTTCTTTTATTATCAAAACTTTTATCAACATAATCAGAACTTGAATTATCAGGCAATTTACACAATGATCTCCTTAAATTTATAGGTTTACACTCATCACAATACTATTTACCAACAGATATTCTTTTGAGCAGAGGTATTAAACATCGCTTATGAAAACCTTTTTCACACAAGATTCACAGAATTCCCCCAGATCTATAGCAATAATTGCATTTTGACCATTCTTGTGACTCATCTTCAATTAAATCTTCTTCTTGTAAATTTTTTTATTAACAATTTATTTGGTTTTAATAGAGTTCTCGATTTTGATGTTTTTAGCCAGCAATTAGTATTAATTTATTATAGTATTTCTCTTTTCTTTGAATAAATCACTAAAATATATTAATAAAGTTATCATGCCATACTTTAAATTTGAAAATATGTATTAGTATAATTTGTCAAATTACCACACAAATATGATTTGGCTTAATATAACCAGAGAATTTATTTTCATGTATAATGTCATTACATTTTTGAAGAATATGTATACTTAAATTTATAATAAGATCATTATTAGAGATGTGCCTCTCACGAAATGTTGATATCATAATAAATTATTTATATTTTCTCGTGCAAGAACCAATTGAATGACATCAGCATTTCGCATGAGAGGCACATCTCTAATCATTATACTAATATTAATATAAGCAATGTAAGGAAAATTATAACAAGAATTTCAGGCTTCTGATATATTTTTCTTTTCAAAAATCAAGCATTTGGCTACTGTGATATTAAAAAATAATGAGCAAAATTGTAGAAAGTAAAGAAATTATAAAAAATCCAATCAACCTAATTTGGAAAGCAACTGAAAGAAAGTTGTCACTGTTACTTTTAATAGCCAATTACGCTTAGCAACCATCTCTTTAGATGATGGAATTAACACTACTCTAAATTTGGAAGCACCAAAAGGCACTAATATGAGTGACTCTACTTAACTAAGAAAAAAAAGTCTAAATATAGAATATATATAACGATAAAATAGATTTTAGTAGTCATTTAACATTTCACATCTGTAAAATAAAACTAGGGTAATCAAGATAATGAATCATTCTCCCATGTTGACGAAAATGGTAAATTAAATTCGGATTATGTTACTAAAGGAATTGGAAACAACATTAGTCCAAAGAAAATTCAATGAACTGAAGACAATCAGATAAATAAAATCTCCAAAATTACTGAGAAAGATCAAATAAGTAATATTTTTCAGTGAATAATATTTAATTTTAGTAATTAGGTCAACAGAATTAACTGTTATACTAACCTAAGTCTTATCTTTAAAAATCCTCTAATTAAAATTAATATAAATTTAATAATTCTAATAATAGAAATTTTTAACTGCATAACTATTAACATTATCAAAGAATTTAAGTTTAAGAGAAAATATTAGTGGTGTTGATGACAGTAGTGATTATGATTCTCCAGGATGGTCAGAATGTGAAGAATGCTATGGACCTAAAAAAGAATTTTGTAATCTTTGTGGTTGTTCTGTTTGTAAGTAGAAAGGAGATCGAGATCATATTCTCCTGTGTGATAGATTTTGTGGTAAAGGCTTTTACACCAGGTGTTTAAAACCACTACTTGCAAGAATACTAGCTGGAAACTGGTACTGCATAAGATGTTCAAAGAAATCGAAACATAAGACACAACCAGATGATTCAAATTCAAGTAACAACACGAAGAAAATTAAAAAATCAAATAGAAATAAAAAATGTAAACTAATACAAGATCATAATAGTAAATAAGCTATTTTTATTATTCTATATTAAAAACAAACTCAAAGTATTATATAAATTTATTAGTAAAGAATGTGGAAATTACAGAACCTACAGATGAAGCAGTAAAGTAAATTTTTAATTTAATAATCTTAAGATTTTAAAAGCTATTTATTGATATTATTATCACTATTAAAGAGTAGAAATGCTGAAAATGAATGCATTTCGTCAACTTCTACAAATAATGAGGTAAAAATTCTATAATATTTTTTAAAAATACTAACAGGTTCAAAATTCAATACTGTAATTGCATTTAGAAAAAGTATAATTTTTACTAACAACAAAATTGAAAATAATTTTAGAGTATTCATCAAACTATAGGAAATCTGCCTGAAGTATTTAAAGATAAGAGATCCAATAATAATTACCAGCAATATAATGAAAGTTATAAAGAATGTGATGATGAATTGAGCCAACAGATTTATGACAATGAAGAAGAAGTTAAAAATATTTCTGAAGAGGCTAGAAATTTATTATATTCATACCTTAATACCTCCAATAATCACAAACTTTATTATAAAAACTCACAAAGAATATTCAAGAAATTTGAACCCTAAATTATAATTAGTTTGAAAGTAATATTAAATGTATCTTATTATTAATAAATCTTATGAAAAAAATCGAAATGTAAATTTGATTACGATAGTAGAGAGAAAGTTAAAGGCAAACAAAAGGAACTATTTGAATTAAATTCTGATTCTGATGGTATGTGATCAGGTTTTGAATACTTAATAAATATTGCAAACTAATAATTCAATCTTGAATTGTTAAAATTAGAAGTTGATAACAAAAAGAAAAGACTATCTTGTGGTATGATATTATAATTGTACTAAGATTTTTTTATTTTTTTTCATTTATTAACTGTCAATATCTAAAGAATTACAAATAGAAAATATTATTATATCTATGATATATAGTAATAATCTTAAATTCCCATTAGAATATATAACAAGTTTAAAGAAAATCAGGGCTAGAAAAGAAATAAATAATATTTTTTCATCAAACAAAGATCCAACAAATCTACAAGGAATGTTTTCACAAGGTATTGATTTTAATGAAGTTCCAACACCTGTATCATTAGAATCATTGCCAAAACATTTACAAAGTGTTGAAGATTGTCATAAATATCTTCGAATATAGAATCAGCACTATGATCGATGTGAGAAAGAGATCAATAACCAGCACACCAAAGCACTAAATCTTATTTATTTATTTTCTCAGTTCTTTTTCTTTTTGTTAAAGTATTGCAAACAAGAACAAGAAAATGAAACTAAAAGCAAATCATTAACAAATAGCTGGAAAGGCAGAGATATCAAAAGCCGTACAGTACCAGACAGCATGAAACATCCACTTTTTATATATAAATATAAAAATGCTTATAACTTACAAACAAATGAATTTAAAAAAAATTTGTCTTACAGATTTGTTGCTTTTAGTCTAAGCTACAATTCTGTTAGAATAGATTTTTATTTTTATTATAAATTTAAAAAGTTATTAGAGCCCAAAGTTACTATATAATCAAAAATTTGACGCTTAATATATAAAAAAAATTGTTTTTATAGATTTTTAACCAATCAGATTCTAGTTACACAAAAATAGCCAATCAGATTTGAGTATAAATCTTAAAATTTGGTGCTTTTAAAAAAAAATTGGATGTTTCTTGCTGTCCAGTACTATATAAACAAAAAAATCAAGAGTGTAAATACACGTTCAATCTTAAAGTTGTGGACTGAATGTTGAAGAATTTTTCATATTCTTTGGGTTACAAATATTATACCAAGCGAATTAATCAAAACCAAGTTAATTGCAAAATATTTTTGCAATACAACAGAAACAGAATACAATATTCTAATTCAAGCGTTATTAGGAGATCCAAAATTTGCAAAATTTTCAAACCCAAAAGGTAAAGATGTATTAATATTAGCTGACATTGCTGAGAAATTTTATTAATATGATAATTTTTGTAGAAGTTTTTTTTTTTGCTTACAGCAAATGTTTTACCTTTAATTATTAATTAAATATTTTTTAACATCTCAAACTGTAAGATTTACATAAGAGAAAAATAGCAATATTATTTTTTTGTACATAATCTTGCACCTATCAAATTCTGATGTTCAAAAACACACTTGTAGCAATAATTGATTTAATTATATCATATTACTGTATATCAATATTACCACCAGAGAATACATTTAAGATCAAATGATCTTTTGTTAAAAAGCTGAGTAATAATTACTAGAGCAAAAATTTTAATATTAGTTATGTGATCAGATACTCTAAAACTATTTTGACTATAATTTTTGAAAAACTATAGTTTTTAGTTCGCAACTCTACACTCAAACAACTCTAGAGCTTTAGGTAATTTACAGTATATTAAATTAATATATCACAACTCTAGAGTGGAATGTAAACTAGGTTAATATAATTTTAAATTATATTCTCTATTTTTTAATGGCCCTAGAGGCCATAGGAGTATGAACTGAGTTTAAATTTGAAATTTTTTATATTGTTATTAACGTTACATTTATTAGATTTAATATTATCATTATTAATTTTTTTTTTTTTTTTTTTTTTTTTAAGGTGAGGTTTTGATTTTATCTTTATTTAATAATTTGTATTGAGAATCTACTAGGGGTTTCTCTGGTCAATAAGACCAATAATTACAAATAT